ATATATATATATATTTATATATATATAAATAAATGAATGTAATATATATATTCATTTAATGTTCAAAAGTACCAAAATGGCAGGATTCACATAGTATGACCGAAATTCAGTAATCTCCTGATATCAAGTCAATTCCACCTAAAAACGATAAAAACAGCAGGGTTCACAAACTATGACTAGAATAATTCAGTCACCCCTGCTATCAAGTCAATTCCAACTCCTAGCAATCCTATGTAGAGTTTCTGAGGATATAAATCTTTACGGGAGCAGAAAACCTCCTTTTTCTCATGTGGATCTGAATTGCTCACCTTGCGGTTAGCAGACCAATGTATAACCCAGTACACCACTAAGACTCTTTAAGCAAACAAAAGCTATGCGTGGAAAGTAAAGACAGAAAGAAAGCTTACCTGTAGAGGACATCTAGTTTTCTGTCCTTTCAGCATCTCTGGTTTCTATACTCCCCACTATCCAAGAAACCAGTTCTTCCCACTTTAGTAGTGAGATTTTAGTTTTCTGAGGAGCTATTAATCACAGGACCTTAAGACCTCTGGCCAGGAATAAAGTTAGGGACAGAAGAGCAACTATAACCCAAATATAGCCATCAGAAATGTTCCCCTGAGGTTTTCTAATGTGAACGGTAAATAGAGAACCTTGTCTGTCTTAGTGAGAAAGGAAAGCTATCAGCAGTTAAATTTTCTATTCTTGTAGGGAAGTCTGATCTGAAAGAATGAAGTTCAAACAAAGTCTTTGAAGTTGAAGTTCTAGTAGATCCTGTAATTTGTTTTTGAGTATTAATCCAGGCCCCTTTCTGCCTAAGCTTACTAGCAACCAAGAATCTTGCTTGAGAAATATACCACTAACAAGTTAACGATACATGTCTTTGGATGGAAATATGAATGATTTCCACCTCCTTAGTCTTTCTGGTGTTTTCCATATTATAAACACACAATAATTTACATTTATTTTAAAATAAATTTTCTATTTTTAAATGTGATAAAAGGGTACACTCAGTTACCCGGACTTGTGAAACATAGCATTAATGTATAGCTATTATTTTTGTGCTGGTGGTTGTGGTGGTATGTCATGGAGCTGGTTCTGACGCATAGTGACCCTGTACAGGGTTTCCCAGGCTGTTAATCTTTACGGGAGCAGAAAGCCTCATCTTTCTCCCGCGGAACAGCTGGTAGTTTCGATCTGCTGATCTTGAGGTTAGTAGCCTGACTCATAACCACGACATTACACTACCAGAGCTCCTTATTTTTGTGCTACAAATACAATAATGTTATCAATAGTTTTGGTTTGCTACAAAGTCACCTCAAATTTCAGTGGCAATTTCTAATTTTATATATGCAAGATTTCCTAAATTTTTGAAGTTTGAAAGGTTTACAACCAAAATATTATTTCCAACTCACAGATCCTAACTTGAACATAATTTTAGAAAGATATAAAATTTAACATTTTTGTGCTATGATTTTAACTCTGGTAAATATCCTATAAAGGTAAATCATGATACAATGTATATTTTTCCTTGATTTTTTTTTCTTTATTTCTGAATGTTTTTTCTTTAATTCAAGGACACTGTTAACTTGGGATATTAAGATGTACTTTGAATATCAGGATATTCTTTTCAGAACAATTTAAATAAATAAATAAATGGTTGTCCTGGTCAATTTGTTAGTCTTGCCATCTAAGCATACTTAGATATATGCTCAACAGAATTGTCTTAGAAACTTTAAATGACGGGCACATTTTCAAGTGCTTCAATTTTTTTACCTAGACCTAGTAAAGAAATAAAATATAAAACTTTTTAAAAAGCAAACTATACACGATTCAATTTAACTAGGCTTTTAAGGACAAGCCACTAAAAAAAGCAAGCTTACCTCATCTGAGAGATTGTCAACTCTATACAAACTGGGATGAGTTGTTAGCATAAGATAAACCAAGGGCTGATTTTTCACTTGACACATAGCAAAAATGCGTTCGTCTAGACGAGCATTTGTCCCAGTCTGGAATGATTTCTGTAACAAAAAACAATCCCCCCAGCCAAGACAGAAAATATATTTTAAAAATACATAAAGAATTTTACAAATGCCAACTGTTACAAGAATATCTTTTGATAAGATTAGCGAATATATTGTTAATTGCTCTTTGGAAAATATTACATTGAATTGTAGCTATTCTCCACCTAAAAGTCTTTAGAAATTAATTACCCAATCATGGCAAAGGTATTTGATCTCTCTGGTGTTGGTTTTCTAAAGAGTGAAATAGATCTAAAAACCCTATTTACCACAGAATGCTAGTCATGTAACAACCTAAGCAACACTGTGAGAAGGATCAAGTTATACTGCAGATGACAAAATAAAGGCATATATGAAGGACCTAATAAATAAATGCTGGGTGATGGTTAATGGTTACTGTCTGGTTTTTCAGAGAAATTAAACCATGCATCAACCAGGAAAAAATAAATTGTAATAAAAATGAGGAAAACTGGTTATTAGCAGAATAGAGTAAATAAGTAACTGTAAGATCTAACTGGGGTATTAGCTTCATGGTAAGATTTTAAGCATTGAAATTGAGGGAAAAGACAAAAAGAGGTAGAGAAAATAAATGCAATTATACATTAAAACAAGTATACTAATAAAAGGAAAATTTAAAAAGACTCTTTTAAATTGGCACAAGAATAGTCAATATATACCACTATGTAGTAAGAAGAATCCCTGGGTTACGTAAACAGTTAATATATACAGCTAACTGAAAGGCTGGAGGTTCACGTTCACCCAGAGATACCACAGAAGAAAAGTCAGGCAATTGAAAACCCTATGGAACATAGTTATACCCTGACACACTTGGGACCTATATGAGTCAGAAGCAACTTGAGGGTAACTGGTATGTATTAGGAACTATTCTAAGTGCTGGGACCACAGTGGTGAATGACAAAAGATTAAAAACAAAAACCTGTGCCAGTAAAGCAGAGGTAGAAAACTGTTGCTGCTAAGTGTCATCGAATCAGCTCTGACTCAAAATGACCCTGTATAGGGTTTCCAAGGAGTGGCTGGTGGGTTTGAACCACTGACCTTGTTGTTAGCAGTCCAGTGTTTATTCTACAGAGCCACACCATGACTCCAAGGCAGAAAATAAATAGGTACAATATGTCAGTGGTAAGTGCTATGGAAAAAAATAAAGGTGGAAGACCACTAAAGAAGGTCAGGGTAGAGGTGGGATGGGGTGAGCAGAGAGGACTGAATATGAAGTGTGGAGATTAGAGAAGGCAAGCCTTAGTGAAAAGACAGCATTTGAGGGAAGACCCGAAGGAGAAGAGAGCTCAGATTTGTAAATGTTAAAACTTCTTTCTATTAGGTTACATTATATCCAGAAGTAAAAATACATAATTTGAGCAAAAGAAATAATTTTTGGAATGGAAGGCCAGTAAGATAAATGAGTTGCCCTTCTTTCTACCTGGAAGAGACTACATACCGACAGGGTGGGTTGCTTGTGGACACTGGGAAAATAAGCCTTCTCCACCAGCCTAGGGTTTTCTTTCTTTTAGAGGAGTAGGGGTTGGGCAGGCAGGGAAAGACATAAATAATAAATATCAAATGAAAAATCCTACAGCAAAGCTTTGCTCAAAAGCTGTAGGACCATAGAAGGAAAGGTAACTGCCAGACAAGTAACCCTTGAGCTTAAAGACAAGGATAGGGGAGCACATACCAGGCCTTGGAAGCAGGGACATAGATATGAGAAAATATGTCTAAAGAAGAATGAGAAATGTAATGTAGCTGAGATAATGCAGGGAGGAGGGCAGAGACATAAAGAATCTCATGTATGACTTCTTACTCCAAAATAAAATAAAAAATAATTCTTATTTTGGAAAACTATCACTTGAATCATAGATAACATTACTCAGTAACAACACTTACATAGTAAGCATCTCTTAAGAACAAGGCATGTACTTTAAATCAGTTATCTGTAAAAATGTTTTGTTATAAATCTGTTCAAATAATAGTTAAAGACCCTGTCCTCAAAATATGTAACTAGCATAAAGTTACATATACAAGGTTTAGGAGTTTAAAGGATAAAATACTTGGCATTTGATGCTACTTTTTTGCCTTACCTGTTTGAGGAGCGCCAACACAAAGAGTGGGAAGAGTCGCAGAGAAAAAGGAACCATGAGTCCAGGTTGGTGGTTACTCAGGACTGACGACCGATAAGCTGAGAGAGAGTCTATGACGGCATTCACTAGGGCATCACGAGCATCACTCAGACTGGCAGCGACAGATCTGTCAACAGCTAATCCAGGTGGAGGTGCAAATATAAGAGAAACAAGATGAAGGTTTAGCAACATCATTGTTAAAGATGGAAAGGTGATAAAAAATAATAATTATACAAAGTTTCTCTTTATACAATTATTTGCTATTAAGTGCCATCAATTCTGACCCATAGTGACCCTGTATAGGGTTTCCAAGGAGCAGCTGGTGATCTCGAACCACCAACTTGCAGTTCAAACAACTTTGCAGTCTGACATACTAACCCACAGCGCCACACCAGGACTCCTTATACAATTATACAAGGAGTCAAAACATAGCAATGAAAACCACATGCTTTGGAGAATCATACCAACCATCTGTTGAAATGCTACTCTGATACTTCCTAGTTGACAAGTAACAAGCTTTCTGGTCTTTTCTGTAAATACAGTTTCATTGAATATAAACCACTACTGACTAAAACCCACCACTTTATTTTATAAATATAAAATGAGATAGGAAAAAGGATACAAGGCTTTCTTATTACTACAGAACTTGTATTGAAAGAGCTCTTAACTATTTAAACAGATTTCCATCATCTATCCTGCCACTCTACTTACATACTTTTCTGTGTACATAAATACTCTTCTTTTCATTGATTTTAATCTAAGATTACAAGTTCTTCCTTAAAGGAAAAAGGGTGCAAAACCCAAATTGACACTAAACCCAAACCCACTGTCATGGAGCCGATTCTGACTCATAGAGACCCTGTACAGGATTTCTTAGGCTATAAATCTTAATGTGAGAAAACCCCCTTATCTTTCTCCCACAGAATGGCTGGTGTGTTTGAAGAGTTGACCTTGCAGTTAAAAGTCTAGTGCTTATCCTATAGTGCCACCAGGGCTCTTGTTATTAATAATGTTATTGTTAAAAGCCATCAAGTTGATTCTGATTCATAGTGACCCCATATAGGATTTCGGAAGCTTTAAATCTTCGTGGGAGCAGAAAGTCTCATCTTTCTCCCACAGAAAACAATCCAGTGCTTATTGTATAAATTTGGAAAACAATCCAACTAACCAACCCAGTGTCACTGATTTGATTCTCATTCACTGTGACCATGTATGGGTTTTGCCTAGACTGAAAATTTTTGTTAGCAGTCTCATCTTTCTACTGCAGTGTGGATGCTGAGTTTGAACTGCCAACCATACAGTTAACAGCACAATGCATAACCCACCACTCCACTAGGGCAGTTGAGTTGGTACCCCCCGTGGATAGCGACCCTGTATAGGGTTTCCAAGAAGCAGCTCATAGGTTTGAAATGCCAACGTTGTGATTTATAGTCCAGTGCTGATACTACAGCACCATACCAGGAGTCTAGGACTCCTTAGTATATTTGAAAAGGTGGACAAAAAGAAAAAAAAAAATCAAGAAGGCAACTAGATTTGAAGTAGAAAAAAACAGAATTTTCTGCTAGTCCATAAAATGTGTCCGAAGTTATAAACATATACATACAGTTATCTTTATGGTATACTGCTATCTCTTATAATCCCAGTTGCAGAGTTTATTGTTGTTGTTAAGTGCCATTGAGTCAGTATCAGTTCATAACGACTCGATGTACAACCTAATGAAACCCTGCCAGGTTCTGGACCAACCTCACAATACGTTGCTACGTTTGAGCCCATTGTTGCTGCCACTGTGCCAATCCATCTCACGGGAGTCTTGCTCTTTTTCTCCAATCCTTCACTTTTACCAAACCTGATATCCTTCTCCAGTGATTGATTGGTCCCTCCTGACAATATGTCCGAAGTATGAGAGACAAAGTCTGGCCATCCTGGCTTCCAAGGAGCACTCTGGTTGTACTTATTCCAACACAGATTTATTTGCTCTTTTGGCAGTCCATGGTATTATCAATATTCTCCTCCAACACCATAACTCAAATGCATCAACTCTACATTCTTGCTTATTCACTATCCAACTTTCATATGCATATGAGGTTATTGAAAATACCATGGCTTGCTTGGGTCAGATACACCTTAATCCTCAAACTGATAGCTTATCTTTCTTTGCTCTTCAACACTTTAAAGAGGTCTTTGTGCAGCAGAATTGCAATATGTCATTTGATTTCCTGACTGCTGATTCCATGAGTGTTGATGGTTGAGCTGAGCAAAATGAAGTCTTTCACAACTTCAATCTTTTCTCCATTTATATGATGCTGTTGTTGTTAGGTGCCACCGAGTCAGTACCAATCCATAGCACAGCAGAACTAAACACTGCCTGATCCTGGGCTAACCTCAATACTGTTGCCAGGTTTGAGTCCATCGATGCTGCCACTTGGCAAATCCATCTTGTTGGGGGGGGGGTCTTCCTCTTTTTCTCTGATCCTCCACCTTACCAAACATGGTATCCTTCTCCAGCGACTGCTCCCTCTTGACAATATGTCTGACGTATGAGAGACGAAGTTTGGCCAACTTGGCCTCTAAGGAGCACTTTGGCTACACTTCTTCCAAAACCAATGTTTGTTCTTTTGGCAGTCCATGACACTTCCAATATTATCCTCCAACACCATAACTCAAAGGCATAAATTCTTCTACGGTCTTCTTTATTCACTGTCAAGCTTTTGCATGCATGTGAGGTTACTGAAAACATCATGGCTTGGGTCAGGCGCACCTTAGTCCTCAAGCTGACTCTTTTCTCTTCAACACTTTAAAAAGGTTTGTGCAGCAGATTTACCTAATGCAACATGTCGTTTGATCTCTTGATTGCTGCTCCCGTGAGTATTGATAACTGATCCAACAAGAATGAAGTCCTTGACAACTTTAATCTTTTCTCTGTTGATAAGAATGTTGTTTATTGGTCCAGTGGTGAGGATTTTTGTTTTCTTGACATTGAGACGCAATCCATCCTGAAGGCTGTGCTCTTTGATCTTCAACAGTAAATCTTTTAAGTCCTCCTCATTTTCAGCAAGCAAGGTTGTATCATTTACATATCGCAGGTTGTTATTGAGTCTTCCTCCAATTCTGATGCCACGTTTTTCTTCACAGAACCCAGCTTCTTGGATTATTTGCTCAGCATACAGGTTGAATAAGTATGGTGAAAGAACACAACCTTGTCGCACACGTTTCTTAATTTCAAAACATTCAGTGTTCCCATGTTCTGTTTGAACAACTACCTCTTGGTCCATGTGCAGATTCCTTATGAGTACAATTAAGTGATCTGGAATACTCATACTTCACAATGTTGTCCATAGCTTGTCATGATCTACACAATTAAAAGCCTTTGTGTAGTCAATAAAGCACAGGTAAACATTTTTCTGGTATTCTCTGCTTTCAGTCAAGGTTCATCTGACATGAGCCGTGATAGCCCTTATTCCACGTCTTCTTTTTAATTTGACTTGAACTTCAGGAATTTCTCTGTCAATGTATGGTTGTAGCCGTTTTTGCACTTTCTTTAGTAAAACTTTACTCGTATTATTGATATTGTCTGATGATTTCAACATTCTGTTGGGTCACCTCTCTTTGGAATGACCACAAATATAGTTATCTTCCAGTCGGTTGGCCAGGTAGTTGCTTTCCAAATTTCTTGGCATAGAAAGAGACACACCTTATAGAAAAGTTAAGTCCAGACTACATAAATCTATAGAGACAGAAAATAGTTTAGTGGTTGCCTAAGGCCAGCAGTAGAGGGTGGGGAAAGTGAGTTTGTGACACTAACAGGCATGAGATTTCTTTTTAGGGTGATGAAAATGCTCTAAAATGATACTGAGGCTGCACAACCCTGTAGAGTATTTCTGAGAAGTGGCTGATAGGTTTGAACCACTGACCCTATGGTTAGCTGTCTAGTATTTATCTTATTTCGCCACAGCAGTGGGGATTCCAAACTTGGTGGAAAAATTGAATTAAGCAATAATGTCATTTTTCCACAAACTTTTTCAAGATGCCTCATATATAATGAAGAATAGTACACTTAAAATGAGTTAAATATTATGGTATATATATTATACTTCAATAGCTGTTTAAACAAAATAGAAGATAAGGTTATTTATTAAACAAAATAGAACACATCATATGTAAGTAAATACAAAAGAAAAAAATATTCTTTCTTACCATGGAAAATAGTTAATACTATCATCTGCTGAAGATCATTTCATTCAATTCATTATTTAACAAACATCCATGGAATCCAAATCACTGAAACCCCTGTTGTTGTTAAGTGATGTTGAGTCGATTCCAATTCACAGCGACCCTGTATAGGGTTTTCGAGGAGCAGCTGACCTTGCAGTTCAAACTGACTTTGCAGTCTAGCACATTAACCCACAGCACCACACTAGGGGTCTTTGAAACCCTTAGAACTAATATTGATTTTGTTTAAGAGTATTACTTACAAAATATATATAATGGGTGCTAATAACTCTTACCCATATTGGCCAACAACCCTGAAATTGCTTGAACATCAGCTCCAAGAAAGACTTCATTCAGAGTTGAAACTACCGGTAAACACAAAGTATGGACACGGATTCTTCTTTCACCTTTGGGGAAAGGATACACATAATGTTCAGACACTATATATAACCTTTATCAAAGTTACTTGGAAAACACTTCTTTTCAGTTTAGAACTCAATAGATACAGTAAGTAGACATAGTATCAAAAGTTTAATGTGTAAAACCTGTGGAGTTGTGTCTCATTTACTGACTTCAAAATTCCTTTTGTTCAAGTTCTTTCTGGAAAGATGACAGGGATTATACTTAAATCATAGCAATATGCTAGTTTTAAAAAAAAGTCTCCTTTTTTCAGCTATTGGTTATGTTTTCAGTTAAAAGTAAGAAAACATGTAAAAGACAAGAAGCAGGAAGTTGGCAAAGAAAAGATGAAGGTAGGAAGGAATGCAAGAGTTAAAGTGAAGAGAGGTAAGTATTGTTAACTGATGGAAGGGACAACAATTATTGTAATTACACAAAGTCTATTATTAATTGACTGTGGGACTGATGATCTGATCTGTAAATCTTCACTCAATTCAAAATAAAAGTTACAAAATAAAAGACATGACTACTCTACTACAACATGTGTTCTGCAGCCAGAAAAATCACTCTTTTCTCTTTAATCACAAGAAATCTTTGTTAAAGAAATAAATAGTCACGATGCTTTCTCTTTCATACTTATTGGTGGTGTTAGGTGCCATCGAGTTGGTACCGACTCATAGCAACCCTATGCACAACAGAAAGAAAACACTGCCCGGTCCTGGGCCAACCTCACAAGTTTTGCCACGCTTGAGCCCATTGATGCTGCCATATGGCCAATCCACCTCGTTGGGGGGCTTCCTCTTTTTCTCTGACCCTCCACCTTACCAAATATGATATCCTTCTCCAGCGACTAGTCCCTTCTGACATGTCTGTAGCCATCCACTGATTGAAGAGACATGGTTAAACACATTTTGTTTGGAATAAACATGTGTATGAGAACTGAAATCCCTAGTAGCAATACTTTGCAGCTCTTAAGAATGAAAGATTTTGTGTCTCATACTTTGGACATATTATCAGAAGGGACCAGTCCCAGGAGAAGGATATCATGCTTCATAAAGTGGAGGGTCAGCAAAAAAAAGAGGAAAACCCCCAAGGAGATGGATTGACACAGTGGAAGCAACAATGCACTAAACGGTAACAATAATTGTGAGGATGGCACAGGACACAGCAGTGTTTCATACGGAGTAAAAGCAAGTAATGGAAATCAAAGGATCAAAGAAGAAACCAATCCAGGGATTAATAGCCCATAGAAACCTGAGACCAGAATAACAACATGGTATCCAGCTACTAATAACTACCAGTCAGATTAGGGGCATAATAGAAGGTCCTAGATAGAAAGGAAAAAAAAAAAATCTGTACAAATTTCAAATTCCTTTTAAAGGCCATACCTGCTAGACTGAAAAAAACTAAACAAAATCCTAAGACTACCACTCTACGATGACCTTTGAACATAAAATTGAAGCTATCTCTGTGGCTCACCCTTCAGTCAAATAAAGACTGACTTACAAAAGAAACAGCATTCTCTGTAAATAATGTGTTCTCTGAAACAATAAACTATATGAGACCCAACAGTCAACACTTACACAAAAATCAAAGGTGAGAAGGACCAAAAGCAAAGGAAAGTTATATAAATGGAAACAGAACAAACAGATTGGAAATACCAATGCAGACACACAGCAAAGAAACCACTACACAATTATTAAAATGGCAATAAAACACTCAAATGAAATACAAACAAAAAAACTGAACAACTGAAAACACCAAGTGTTTGGAAGGATTAGAGCAGCTGAAACGCTCATACAATGCTGATTGAATACAAAATGGTACAGAGACATTGGAAAAATTCAATTATTTTAATACTATTTCTGCATGAACTTTTGAAGTCCTTTTGTACTTACTATACAACAACCCCACTACTCCTAAGCATTTACCAAATGAAATAACAACTTATCTTCACACCCAAACCTTATGCAGCTCTTCCTAGTGGCTATACAGATCAACTTCATTTAATTTCACTTCCCTACATTGTGCTTCGCAGTACACTGAGGGTCTGTGAAAATCCAGCATACCCTGACCAAGTCTATCAGCTCAACCACTTATCTCTGAGTTACAGTGTGGTAAATCTCACAATATTTCAAACTTTGTTCATAATTCCATTGTATACTAATAGACTTTGTTGTTGTTGTTGCTCTTTAGTGCTGCAGAGTTGGTTCTAATCCATAGCAACCATGTATAGGGTTTCCAAGGAGCAGCTGGTGAGCTTGAACTGTCGACCTTGCAACAACAACTTTGCAGTCCAGTGCATTAACCCACAGCGCCGCACCACAGTGTAGTGTAAACATAACTTTCATATATGCTTTTGTTGCTGTTAAGTGCCATCTAGTTGGTTCTGACTCATAGCAACCCTACACAGGGTTTTCAAGGAGCAGCTGGTGAGCCTGAACCACTGACCCGCAGACCTTGTGGTTCAACTTGACTTTGTAGTCCAGTGCATTAGTGTAGAGTGCTATGCCAGGACTCAAAAAAATTCACACTGTGATATTCATCTTATTAATGGTGGTCTGGAACTGAACATTTTTATGCTTGTATGTGAAACTATCAAAACTGGAAACAACTCAACTGGGAAATGAATGAACAAACTGGATATAATAAAATACTTATTGTTGTTAAGTGCTGTCAAGTCAGTTCCAACCCAGTGGAGCACCCGGTGAGCTTGAACTCCCAACCTTGTGGTTCAAACGGACTTTGCAGTCCAGTGCATTAACTCACAGCATCACACCAGGACTCTAATAAAATAATACTGAAGAATAAAAAGAAACAAACTACTGGTAGATAAAACAACAAGGCATGGATGAATTTCATATGCACTATGTTTAAGTGACAGAACTGAGATTTAGAAGGCTACATACTATATGAGTGTATATGTCATAATTGTAAAGGAAAAACGGTAGGGTCAGAACACAGACAAGTGGATTTTAAGTATGAAGAATGGGAGAGACATTAACTACAAAGGGTTAAAGAAAAATGTTGGGGGAGTGAAGGAACTGACTGCAGTATCCTGATGGTGATGGTAGTTACACAAGATACATATTTGTCAGAACCTATGGAACTGTACATTAAAAATGGTACATTTTGCTCTATGTAAATTATATATTAATTTTTTAAAAATGTTAATAAGAAACACAAATGAACAGAAAAAGGACTGAGCTAGTCTTTTAACAAACACAAACTGTTGTCTAAAGACAAAATATATATATATGTGTGTGTATATATATGTTGTTGTTGTTAAATGCTTTTGAGTCCGTTCCAATCCATAGTGACCCTTTATAGGGTTTCCAAGGAGTAGCTGGTAGATTTGAACTATCAACCTTGCAGTTAACAGTCCAGTGCTTATCGTACAGCACCACACCAGGCCTTGGAAATCCTATGGAGTAGCTCTATTCTGTCCTTTATGGTTGCTATAGGCCAGAACCAACTTATTGTGTGGGTACTAATTATAATCGCCATACAAAATCAGAACTTTTCTCACACTAAAGGTTTTCATCAAAACGTCTTCCTTACATACTTCTGGGGGAATATTGGAGAGGCTCTTAAAGTTGAATAGGCAAAGACACAAACATCATCTTTTCTCCTTTTCCACAAAAACAATTTATGGTAATAAAACAGAACTAGGGGGTGAGAGTTATAAATCTTTAAAACGATTAAATGAATTTAATTTCATTTTTATAACCTCAAAACAAAACAGAAATTATAAATTAATTAGGATTAAACAATTTATACCCTTAAGAAAGGTTTCCTATCTCATTATGAGCTCTTTCAGTACTTCACACAAAATACCCAACTCATCCTATCCCATTTCCCTGCTTTTCTCAATTCTTATCACTCTATAAAGGGGCTTCAAAAAGCTGGTGAAAAATGGAATGAAAAGATAACAGAATTTTTCCATAAACTTTTTGAAGCCCCTTTATATGACATACTGTTTTTTTCTTTATCATGTTTGTTCTCGTCTCCCTTGCTAGAATGAAGCTTTTAATTTCGTTTTATTAACTGCTGTATCATCAGTACCTATTTAAGTACCTAATACACAGTACTCTCAATAAATATGTGTTAAATAAATGGATAAATACATTTTGGAAAATTAACACCAAACATCTTGGCTTTACCAACACCAACAATAACATTGTATGATTACTAATACTCTCCTGGTTTAACAGAAATGAACTGTTGCTGCCATCGAGCTGGCTCTAACTCATGGTGACCTCAAGGATAACAGAACGAAAACTTGCTGGGTCCTGCTCCATCTTCATGATCGCTGGTAGGCTTGAGTGCACTGTTGCAACTACTGTGGCAATGGATCTTACTGAAGGTTTCCTTCATTTTTGTTGATGTTTCTACCAAGAGGAGGTTATTCTAGGTCACGGAATACAGAACTACAACACAAAACTGACCTTTGCTGGATGTATACAATAGTGCTGACTGAAAAGAAACCAACTGAGTATCAGTAAGACTCTCTTCTACGGACATCTGTACCGCATACCCAGCATCTGGATTTACATTGGGCAAAGATAGTAAGTCTGTTGACCGAACAAAGAAGTTCCCATGGAAAGTGTGAATGGAAAGACCTAGAAGACAAAGTTAACAAAATGATATATATATATCTATGCTCCTACAAACAGATATTTTCATTTTATCCTAGTCACTTTTTAGACTAGCACAAACTGAAAACTTTAAATACAGAATATTCAGTGAGAGTGTGGGGTAATAAATACCATCTTTACTGAAGGTAGGGGTGTAGACCTTAAAAATAACTATTTGGAGGATAATTTGACAATTAAGGAAATTTAAAATGAGTATTTACTGCAGATCTGCCTATTCTGTGCCTAAGAATTTAACCTACAGACATACATGTTCAAATTAATATGAACAAAGATTTTAAGTAATACAACTTTTAAGAGAAAAAAAAATCACAAATGCCCTCAAAACCTATCAGTGAAAAAATAATTAAAAAGAGATTTGTACATTCAACGGAATGTTATGTTGTTGTTGGTTTAAGTGCTGTCGAGTCAGTTCTGATTCACAGTGGCCCTGTATAGGGTTCTGATGAGTGGCTGGTGGATTTTAAAACTGCCAATCTTGCAGCTAGCAGTCCAGTGTCTACCCTACAGTGCTACACAAGGATTCCTAGTTGTTGCTGTTTGCTTTTAGGTGCCATCAAGTTGGTACCGACTCATACTTTATGCAAACTAGAAAGAAACACTGCCCAGTCTTGGGCCAACCTCACTATCGTTACCACAACTGTGCCAATCCATCTCATTGGGGGTCTTCCTCTTTTTCTCTGACCCTCCACCTCCTGGCTTCCAAGGAGCACTCTGGTTGTACTTCTTCCAACACAGATTTGTTTGTTCTTTTGGCAGCCCATGGTATTTTTAATATTCTCCAACACCAAAACTCAAATGCAACAATTTTTCTACGGTATTCCTTTTTCACTGTACAACTTTCACATGCAAATGAAGTTATTGAAAATACCATGACTTGGGTCAGGTGCATCTTAGTCCTCAAACTGACATCTTTGCTCTTCAACACTTTAAAAGGTCTTGTGCAGCAGATTTGCCTAATGCAATATGTTGTTTGATTTCTTCATTGCTGCTTTCATGAGTGTTGATGGTTAGCTGAGCAAAATGAAGTCTTTGACAACTTCAATCCATTTATACGGATATTGTTTATTGGCTCAATGGTGAGGATTTTTGTTTTCTTTACATTGAGATGCAACTCATACCAAAGGCTGTGATCTTTGATCTTTATATCAGTAATTATTTTAAGTCCCCTTCACTTTCAGCAAGCAAGGTTGTATCATTTGTATATAGCAAGTTACTAATGAGTCTTCCTCCAATCCTGATGTCCCATTTTCTTCATATAATCTACCTTCTCTGATTATTTTCACAGTATATAGAGTGAATAAATAGGGTAAAAGAATACAACTGTGGCACATACCTTTCCTAATTTTATACCATTTGGTGTTTCCTTGTTCTGTTAGAACAACTGCCTCTTGGTCTATGTATCAGTTCCTCATGAACACAATTAAGTGTTCCCGAACACTCATACTTTGCAATGTTGTCCATAGCTTGTCATGATCCACACAATCGAAAGCCTTTTCATAGTCGATTAAGCACAGGTAAACATCTTTCTGATAGTCTCTGCTTTCAGCTTAGATCCATCTGATGTCAGCAATGATATCCCCTGTTCCAAGGCCTCTTCTAAACCGGATTGAATCTCTGAATGTTCTCTGTTGATGTATGGTTGCAGCTGTTGTCTGTATTACCTTTAGCAAAACATAACTCACATGGAATATCAGTGATATTGTCTCAGATTTACACATTCCATTGGGTCACCTCTATTTGGAATGGGCATAAATACAGATCTCTTCCAGTCAGTTGGCCAGATAGTTGTCTTCCAAACTTACTGGCATAGATGAGTGAATGTCTCTACTGCCACATCACTTTGTTGAAATATTTCAATTTGTATTCCATCTATTCCTGGTGCTTTGTTCTTTACTAATGCCTTCAATGCACCTTGGGCTTCTTCAGGATAATTGGCTCTTGATCATATATTATCTCTTCAAATGATTGATCATCAATTCTGTGTATTCCTTCCATCATCTTTTTATTTAAACTTGATATTAAGTTTTTATTGTGAATTGAGTGACAGTTTACATGGGAGAACATAGGTTTCACACTAATCAGTTTCACTGCAATGATTACAATCTCCTTCATATACCATCATTCAACAGTATTTGCTTCCATTCCCTCTATTTGTTTCTTTGTTGTTGTTTTTTGCTGGGGGGAGAGGGGGAGGGATGTACACAAAAACACTCAGGAATATATAATAATTTAAACAACCAAAGGGCACATTCTGTTAATCTGCCTCCTGGCTGTCAGCATTCAGTCTTTCTCTTTCCAGGAGTCTAGAGTCCTCACTCTCTTTCCATGTCCTCATCTCTGCCTCCATCTCTGGTTTCACTACCCTTCCATCATCTTTTGATGCTTTCTGTATCATTAAATAATTTGCCTAGAGAATCTTTCAATACCACAGGTTGAGGCTTGAAACAAAAATTATTGGGTAGTAATTTAAAAAATGAGCTACATCTATTAGTGCTAAAATTAATGGATCTTCAAGACTTATTGAGTAAAAAGATACATAATATTTTATTTACACAAATCTATCATATTACATATTTTCCATGGAGATATACACAAATATGTAAATGAAAAGCTTGATGTTTACTTGTAAAAAAATATTTTAAAAAATACTGAAAAAATGGTTGTACGTTTGTATATACAAATATATTGTATATTTGAATATACAAATATAGAAAGGTACCAAAGATAATGTGATAAAAAAAATCCAGCTATGATGCTCATTTTTAATTTAATGTTAAGGCCAAAATATATGCAGATAAGGCTTATTATATGCATGGGGAAACTTTTGAGACATATATAAACACAATGGGGTAAAGTAAATTGGTTTAACTTTGACTTCATTTTGTAACTTTTTATATATTTTCATTTTACATAGTTTTATATCTTGATATTTTATTTTATATATTTTTATCTTTTTGTAAACATAGATATATCTTTATCTATGTTTTTTATTATCAAGATCATGTATTTGATTTGTTATGAAATTTATCATAATATAGGAAAAGAGAAACCTGAACAGGTCAACTGTAATGCTTCATTAAATGAAGTCCTCTATGAAGAGGACAAAGATTGACTCATTGGTATACCCCAAACTCTTTAGGCAAATTTGTTGTTCGATGTCAGTGAATTGGTTCTAACTCATAGCAACCCTACGTATAACAGAATGAAATAGTGCCCAGTCTTGCTTGCTACGTTGCTATGTTTGAGCTCACTCTTGCAATCACTGCATCAATCTATTTTGTAAAGGATCTTTTTATATTCTGACACCCTTCTACTTCGCCAAGGATGATGTATTTCTCCAAGGACTGGTCTCTCTTGATAATATGTCCAAAGTACTTGAGATGAAGTCTCACCATCCTCCTTTCTAAGTATAGCATTCTAGCTATACTTCTTTCAAGATAGATTTGTTTGTTCTTCTATCAGTCCACAGTATTTTCAGTGTCTTTTGTCCACACCATGATTCAAATCTTCTCTGGTCTTTCTAATACATTGTCCAGCTTTCATATGCATATGGTGTGAATGATATACCATAGCTTAGGTCCTCAAAGTGATATCTTTAATTTGAATACTTTGTTGTTGTTGTTAAGTGCCGTCGAGTCGGTTCCGACCCATAGCGACCCTGTACAGGGTTTCCGAGGGTGTAAATCCTTACGGGAGTAGAATCTTTTTCAGCATATTTGCTTAATGACACAGGTTCTTTCATTTCCTGACTGCTACTTCCATGGGTATGATTTTGGACTCTGTAAACTGAAATCCTTGACAACTTCAACTGTTTCTCCAGTCATCATAATGCAGTTTATTGGTTTAGTAGTGAGAATTTTTATTTTCTTTATGTTGAAGTGTGACTCATACTGAAGCCTATAGTCTTTGATCTTCATCAGTAAGTACTTCAAGTGTTCTTTGCTTTCAGGAAGCAAGGTTGTGTTAATATGCATATCACAGGTTGTTAATGAAACCTCCTTCAATCCTAATGCCTCATTCTTCATACAGTCTAGCTTTCTGGATTTTTGTCAGCATACAGATTATCTAAGTATGGTGAAAGGATACAATTGCAAGGCATACCTTTCTTGATTTTAACGTATTCATTATCCCCTTGTTCTATTTGACTGACTGCCTCTTGGTCTATGTACAGGTTACACATGGGTACAATGAAGTGTTCTGAAATTCTCATTCTTTACAATGCTATCCATAATTTGTTATGTTCCATACAGTCAAATGTCTTTGCATAGTGAATAAAACTCAGGTCATTTTTTGGTATTCACTGCTTTTAAGTCAAGATCCATCTGACATCAACAATTATATTCCTCGTTCATGTCTCCATCTGAATCCACCCTGAAATTCAGGCAGTTCCCTGTCAATGTATTGCTGCAACTGTTTTTGAATTATCTTCAGAAAAATTTTATTTGTGTGTGATATTAATGATACTGTTCAATAATTTCCATATTCTGCTGGATCATCTTTCCCCAGCTATTATATTCATAATAGTCTCTTCTTTCTTTTAGTTAGTTAGTTTTGTTTTTACAGTGTTTCTTAATCAACAAAGTCAACAAAGTATGAAGAGGCTTCAAAAGGTTCATGGAAAAAATTCATCATTTTTAAATTCCATTTTCCCACAAAGTCTTTGAAGTGTTCCCCCCCCACCACACACACACTAATTTAGAAAGGCAAATTTTTTGAGACTAGGTACAAACGCATATATTTTCTGGTATCATAAACAAACTTTTATTATTGTGTAAAAAAAAAGGCATTCCTACCTTTGGTGCACCGAATCCTCATGACTGCTTCAAAGCCAATCTTCCGAGTGAAGTATCTCTGTAATTCTTTCCGTAACTTCCGTACTTGGACTGGGTTGTGCTGATGGTGGTAAGAGGGATAGTAATAGACACTACCTGCTGAATACCGAGAAATACAACCTGGAAAAGAATATGTAATCTTGAATAAATTGTGTGGTGAATTACTATTACTAAAGTAACCAACGAATTTGAATCAAATCTTCTTTAACTTCCCAAAGTATTATCAAAAAGAATATTTCATTCCTTGAAATACTAATATAAAAATTTTCGTTACTGTTTACAATAGATGATAAGGTCTGTAGTAGACTAAATTGACCATAACTCTTAAAGAGAATGAAAGTTTTCAATTTGTTCCCTACTGAGAATACCATCATAAAAAATGTTATTTGACAGTCATTTGAGAAAACACATAAATGTTATTTGACAGTCATTTGAGAAAAATAATCATTAAGAAGAACTTACTCAGAGAAGCCAAATCAGAATACTGTCCACTGAGAAGGAATAAGTCCACTGCTACCTGTTGACCAGAACAGTCTAAGGCCAATTTCTTATAGAAGTCGGTAGATGGTGTCAGATGTATTTCCTGTAATTAACAAATTACAGTGAGTAATTTTTAAAAGGAGTCCTGGTGTGGCACTGTGGGTTATTGAGCTAGACTACAAGTTGGTTTGAACCACAAGATCAGTGGTTCAAGCTCACCAGTTGCTTCTTGGAAACCCTATACAAGGTCACTGAAGGCTGGAACCAACTTGATGTCACTTAACAACAACAACAATTTTTAAAAACCACTAATAGTCACAAATTTTCAATACATATCTACAATGCTAAAAACAACTGTCTCTGGGCATTGTACAAAATTATTTTGCTTGTTATATTTTCTGATTTTTTTCAGTAAGAAGCATAAACTGCTTAAGTAATTTTCTATACTTCACACTAATTTCTTTATTGACAAAGAAAATCATTAATATTTCAACTAAAATCAATTAGGTGCTAATTACAATGGAAACGAGAGACAGATGAGGCTTTCTGCTCCCGTAAAGATGTACAGCCTCAGAAACCCCAGAGGGTCAAAATGAGTCGGAACCGACTCCATGGCACACTACTACCATCACACAATGGAAACTGTTATAAACAATTTATACACACTATTTAATCCTCTCAAATACCCTAAAAAAGGGGTATCATCATTATCCTTATCTTAGGCATGTACACACACACACACAAGAATTTTAAAATACTGGAATTTTCCTATGAACTTTTTGAAGTTCCCTTGTATAAACATGGAAACAGAAAGGCATAAATTAAGTAACGATTCAAAGTCACACATCCAATAAGCAGTGACATCTAGGCAGCCTGACTCTAGTACTGACAATGTTATAGTAATACAAGCCTCTCTCCCATAGTCTTTTGGGAAAGGCAGGTCTCAAGCTCTGAGTTTATACGCACAGGGTGCTCAAATGTAATCCACAGCAGTTAAAACTCTATGTCAAATGACAACTATTCTTAATGGGTCATCGAGGTTCTACTTCATCCATACCCACTGACCTAAACCCACTGTCATTTAGTCAATTCAAATTCACAGCAATCCTCTATAGGGTTTCTTAGATGGTAAATCTTTATGAGAGCAGACAGCCTCATCTTCCTCCTGCAGAGAAGCTGGTGGGTTTGACTGATGACCTTGTGGTTAGAAACCCAATACCTAATCCACAGTGCTACCTAAGTCTGCTAAAAAGGAAAAATAAAGAAAGGGTAAATCAGGTTAGGGAATGATGGAATAAGATGGGAATGTCTGTATGAAAGAGAAAACTTTTATAGTCCCTTTTCCTCATAACAGAAGCACATACATAGGGACTGAGTATCAGAATAAATCTTATACTGAGAATTTTCTAACCTTAGCAGATGACCTTTGGTTGGGTTCCTCTCGTGGTTTCAAGGCTCCCACCCCAAGAGTTGGGAGTTGTGTTTGAAAGACAGACATTCGACCACCAGTTGGGGACATCAACTTAAAGGCAGCCTGAAGTGCAGGGCCCAAGGCACACTGTGTCTCCAGAGTCTTGTTAAACATTTGTGGCAAAGTTTTCAGTAAATCTTGGACAAGCTTGTGAAACAAAGCAAGAAAATTCAATAATGTTACAATTTAATTATTTCTTTTCACATTAAGTCAGTAACTAATACAATAGACAAGAGACATTGAATCATGGTGATGGTCAGAGAATCTACAGACAGTAAACAATGAAGTTGGTCAAATGACAAGAAAGCCATTTTAAGTCAATATTATAAATTGGCAAGCAAGACAAATCAAAATTGGGGTCTTACAGTTCTTGTACATGCAATAGTCCAGCAAGACTACAAGTCTGAAACTTATCCCCACCCACAAAAAAAACCCATCCCAGTTTAGGTTTATTTTGATGCCATGAAATATGGCCTTCTCAATTACCTCTACACACTTCTTTTTAGTTTCAAAGTGAGTTTAGTTCTTCACTCTTGCAAAATCTAAAATATCCAGTAAATTTGCCAACTACCAATATCACTATAAAAGAAAAAATAAAACAACAAAAAAACCACTACCTATTCAAGTTGTTTTTAATTACAAACAAAATGGGAATAAGAATCATGGGGGAAAAAGATTTTACACTATGGCAAAGTCACTATTGCCAACAGCTGAGACCATAGACTTGCTAGTTAAAATGTTACCCCTACGGCATGTATGCATGTACAGGGTAGACAACACCCCCCCTTCAGACACATTCTGTTCACCTCTCACTGTATTATGTCATGGCAATTTCCAGGCAGGTAATAAGAGTTTCTTCTGAACTGACCCCAATGACACTCTGTGAATCAGAAAAGCAAAGGGCACTGAAAGCAGCCTAACTCATGTGCTTCTATGTTGTGACCAGAAGCTTTATCTCAGCAACCCTCCCAAATTCCCAAATGACTGGCAAGACACGTTTCCTTCAGGTTTTCCTCCTTTGTGGAACAGGCTTATTTTCTACCCTACTACAAATAACGTGCTACATAAGACTTAAAAAACAGTTCAAGGGTAAACTCAAAAGAGTTACTCAATCTGATGAATTTTAACGACCAAATATAAAACACTATTACAAATTTTAGAAATGTCATAGAAAGAAGCAAAATTTTACTTAAAAGTTCATTTAAAAAATATATTCCTTCAATATTTCAATTAAACATGTGTCTTACCTCTTTACTTTCATTTAAATTTACTAGTAAGTTCTCTGGCATAGGTATAAAAACATCTGAAAGAGTAAATAAATATTCATTAAAAATTGCTTATGATGTTTTAAATTAACCACCTCCATACATAAAAAAAAAAAAAAATCTACCTCCTCTTCTCTTATAGTACTATCTACATATGTCCCAAGAGTCACCAAAAGAACACTGATTCAGATATTCCTTGCATCGTATCTGCTTCTTGCCTACTACCTTGTAAAAAACCTCCCAATTAAAAAATATGCATGTGGTTTATGCAAGTGTACCGCAATTGTATAAAGACAATGTAGAGTCCTGCTTTACTGTTTTGCTGAGCCTTGAAAGCCAGTAAAGACTCACTCTTGCATTAAAAAAATATGTTGACTAAAAGACACACAAGAATGGTGTGTTTTTACACAGAAGTTTAATAGAGATCACCAATAGTCCTGTTATTCAAAAAGCAGGTACTTTCTTATAAAAAAGGCTCCCACCAGCCTCTATTAATGGGACGACAAAATTATGTAAATAATAAAGATGCTAACTGACCACATCAGATGAGTTTCTGAAGATTCAAATTTATTCTTGCTTAGGAATTAAATTCCCTTTCTCATAGGACAGCACATTTGGTCTCAATTAGTACATTTCTGTATCATTTGCTTTTATTTGCAAAAAATAAGGCTCATTATGGGGCGTTCTGGTGTGGTGCTGTGGGTTAATGCCCTATGAGTTGTTTGAACCACAAGGTCAGCAGTTCAAGTTCATCAGCCACTCCTGGAAACCCTATACAGGTTGTTATGAGTTGGAACCGACATGATGGCACTTAACAACAACAACATAAAGTTTTAGAACACTTGTAATAAAAAAATTTTAATAACAGATTTATTAAGATATAACTTACATACCACAAATTCACACTTCTAAGTGTATTTAACTTAGTGATTTTTATAATATTCAGAGTTGTGCAATCATCACCACTACCAAATTCCAGAATGTTTTCATCCTTCTAAAAACTAATCCCATAGATTATTGCTATTCCCTACTTCTCTTTAGCTCCCTATGAAGCTCCTGGCAACTACTAATATACTTTCTATATCTTCTATCAATTTGCCTATTTTGGGCATTTCTTATAAATGGAATCATAAATTTTTTTTGTATCCAGATTCTCTCACTTAGCACAGTATTTCAAAGTCCATCTGAGTTACAACACCTAACAGCATTTCATTTTCATTGCCTTATAATCGCCAACTTAGATTTATGCTTAACTCACAAATATCCAAATGCAATAGTTTTTTTAAGTTTTATGTTTAAAAAACCTCTCTAGATATACGCATTAAACTAAAAGTTAAAAAAAAGTCTACTGTATAGCTATACTTCATTTTGTTTATTGCTTCATTACTTGTCGAGCATTTGGACTGTTTCCAATTTTTGGCTACGCTATTATGAACATTCATGCACAGATATTGTGTGTATACATATGCTTTTAATTTTCTTGGGTACATACCAAGGAATGGAATTGTTGGATCATAGGGCAACTCTGAAGGTTCTCTGGTGGCACAATGGTTAAACAATTGGTTTCTAACTGAAAGGTCAGTGGTTTGAATCTACCAGCAGCTCCTTAGGAAGAAAAGACTAAGTGATCTGCTCCCATCAAGATTATAGTTTAGGAAACCCTATGTGACAGTTTTATTCTGTGTTGCTGTTGTTAAATGCAGTCAAGTTGGTTCTAACTCACAGCGACTATATATGGGGTTTCCAAGGAGCATCTGGTAGGTTTGAACCATTGATGTTGTCACAGTGTTACACTAGGACTCCAGTTTTACTTTGTATTATGGTATGGTGCTGTGGATCAGCACTGGATTGCAAACCACAAGGTTGGCAGTTCAAACCCACCAGCTGCTTCAAGGAAACCTATACAGGGTCCCTATGAGTTGGAACCCACTCAACGGGCACTTAATAACAATCTAGGGTAGCTATGAGTAAGAATTAACTTGATAGCACAAAACAACAAGACAACTTTTACGCTTAATTTTTTGAGGAACTGCCCATTGTTTTCCAAAGTGGTTATACCCATTTACTTTCCACTAGCAAAATAAAAGGGCTCTAGTTTCTCCACATTCTTGTCAACACTTGTCATTGTTAGTCTTTTATTTCAGTCCTTGTGTGGCACCCTAGGATAAGCCCTGGACTGATAACCACAAGGTCGGCAGTTCAAACCCATCAGTTACTCTTTGGAAGCCCCAAACAGGTCACACTATACAGGGTCACAAAGAGTCAGACTGACTCAATGGCACTTAACAACAAACAACGGATGTGAAGCAGTATCTTCTCATAGTTTTGTCTTACATTTTCCTGATAACCCTGGTGTAGAGCATCTTTTCATGTGTTTATTGACTAATTGGGGAGCATGGCGGCTCCAAGAGCTAAGCTCTGGAATGTGAACCACAACATTGGTGGTTTGAGCCCACCAACAGGATCAAGATGAGACTTTCTGCTCCCACAAAAAATTAGAGCCTCAGAAACCCTATACAGGGTAACAAAGAGTCAGAACTGACTTGACAGCATTTAACAACAACATTGGCTACTTGTATATGACTACTGAATACTGAACGGCGAAATGCTTATTAAATTCTTTTGCCAATTTTTGAATGCTTTTTTAATTAAGTTGAAGGAAATCCATTTATACTATAGACAAAAAATTCTTTATCAGACACATGATTTCGAACCTTAAGGTCAGCGGTTCGAAACTACCAACCGCTCCACAGGAGAAAGATGAGGCTTTCTACTCCCGTAAAGATTTACACCCTCGGAAACCCTGTACAGGGTCGCTATGGGTCGGAACCGACTCGACGGCACTTAACAACAACAACAACAACTCCCATGCTATAGATTATCTTTTTATTTTATTGATGGTATCTTTTAAAATAAAAATTTTTTTAATGTTAATGAAGTCCTCGTTATTTATTTTTCGTTAGGTACTTAGCCTTTTGGTGTCATAGCTATGAATCTGTTGCCTAATTTGAGGTCACAAAAATTTACTTGTGTTTTCTTCTGTTTTATAATTTTAGTTATCATACTGAAGTCTATCATCCATTTTGTGTTGATATTTGTATATTATCTGAAGTGAAGGGCAAAGTAATTCTTTTAATTTATGGATATCTAGTTGTCCCAACACTATTTGTTGAATAGGGTAGGCTGCTTCTTTAATGAATAAAGTAGTATATTCTTTAGCCTTAGAGAATAACAAGAGTTTATTCAAATAAAACTTTCTATCTCCTCATAGTCATCAACATAAACCCAGAAAAAAAAATCTGCCAAATAATAAATTAATTGGGCATGATACAGTTTTTTTTTTAAGCTCGGTATTCCCCTTGATACTCAGTCAAATGTACTCTATAAAATACATTACTACAGAATATTAAGAACGGAAAGATATCTTACAGATGAACCAGTCAAGCTCCTTTTTATATGAGGCTTTCTAGAAAGCCTGTAATTGTAAAACTCTATAAGTAGAACAGTACAGAGGCTGATATAATCAATAGAAATAAGACATCAAGTATCTTTTCACTATCAGTATTCAGTTATTGCTTATGACTTACAACACAAATAAATCTGAATACACATTTTTAAATTTTAACAGAATAATCTTAGATCTAATTTATAATAATTAAGATTTTCAGGGATGAAAGATACAAGGTAAAACAGAAGCACCCAATCCATTTAGCAGTTGCCCCTCTACAGTTTCATTGACAGCACCTTGCTTATCTCCTTCAAAGTCATTAACTCAATCTAATTACAGTGTTTCTTTGACTACTTGTTCATTGCCTTTTTCCCTCTATTAAAAGGTGAGATCCACATTGACAGGGATCTTGTCTGCTTTATTGACTATTACAGTCCCAAAGCCAGAGTAGTCATTGAAATACTTTTGAATGAATGAATGGGAAAAAGCGATAAAGAGATCTTCATTTAATCTGAGTTTTAACATTAATTTGTTTTTATTGCCTTGCTCAGAATTGACTTTACCTCCAAAATCCTGTTTTCTCTTCTATAAGATAAAAGATTAAATTAAAGGACTGGCATAACTATAACAATCATAAGATTTTAAACTCAGGATTTTGCTTGATATTGTAGAATCACACTATATATATATTTTTGTTGTTGTTAGGTGCCATTGAGTCGATACTGACTCATAGCAACCTTAGGCACAGCAGAACGAAACACTGCCCAATCCTGGGCTAATCTCACTACTGTTGCCATTGATGCTGCCACTTTGCCAATCCATCTCGCTGGGGGTCTTCCTCTTTTTCTATGACCCTCCACCTTACCAAACACGATAGCGATACTATATATACTCCTCCTTAATTTGTCAAATAACCATGAACTATTTCTAAAGTCAAAATTTCTTAAGGCAGTTCAATAATTTCAATTATATAACATATACCTTCAATATCTGAAACTATTAGCATCTGTGGTTGAGAGAGACCTTCTTGAAGACTGTAGAAATGGATTGTACTGTCAAATGTTATGAAGCCAATTTTTGTTCTAGTGTTGCCAGGAAGCCTAAAAACAAATTCAGAATATTTTATCAAAATTCCCAAGTGGTGTGTGTGTATGTGTAGTTATCTATATCTATATACACACACATACACACACACATATATATAATCTATAAGAATTACATGCCTATTTACCATTATGAAAATTATCCTAACATACACAGAAATATGCCCAATGTCTAACCACCATGGAAACATACTTAACTCCAAGAGGAAATATCACCCATAAGCCAAACAATCAACAAAAATTAGCAGTAACATAGTAAATCAGAACCAATTATACTTATACAACCTAAATATAATAATTTAGAAAATAGTATGTGAAAATATACTCACAGGTACAAAACTTTGCAGATAATTTTAAGTTATTTTATAAAGAATGCTTAAAATTGCCATATGCCAATTCTAAAATGTAATATAAATTTAGGTAGTGCTCAAACCTTTTCTTAAACGGTATAACATATTTATTTAATATCAAAATAAATAACATTTATTTAAGATGTTTCAAAAAATTCAAATACGCTGCTTTATAACAGGAAAGACAAATTGGTTTCCATTCTTATTAGTCATGTTTGGGTGACTAAGTGGACTCTCTTATTCATCAGCAGACAATCCTCATACACAACCTACAACATTAAAAGGGGTTCTAGAACTAGCCCAGTGAAATAGGTCTCTTGCAGAGCCTTTGCAGAGTATAGCACCTTTGGTGGAATCCTGAGCCCCATCAAGAACCTTCTGAAGTGGGACATTCCCACTAAAAAGAACAAGCAAACCAGCCGGGAAACAGACCGACAGAAGATGCATCTTCAAAGAAAGAGCATCAGGAAAAACCCAGAGCAAAAATGTCAGCATGACTGGCTACTTCAAAAATAAGTAAGTTGTTTGCTGGGAAGCCATCAAGGCAAGCAATCAAGTTCCTTCAGGAAAAACCCCTCTTTAAGACTGAAACTCAAAGGGAACACATGAACAGGCATGTAAGCTTGCTGGCGACCACATTGATCTATTGGTGAGTGGAAGAGGGAGAAAAGCAGCAATGAAGAAATGGGTTGAGTTCAACCGCAGTCCACTGACTCCCATTGACCTGGAGATGAGAGAGAGAAGAGGAAGGGCTGATTGGTCCATAGTGTGGTGAGACCTGGGGACACCTGAGCCCATGGACAAGGACATAGCCACAGAGGGCTAGAGCTGAGAGTGAAGCATCTAGCTGATATGAAATGAGAGGAGATGCACAAGAACACCCAAAGTTGCAGATAGTGACCATTTGACCTAGCCTTGATGACTTGATAATCAGATTTGACTGGAGTAAGATAGGAAAAGAGGGTAAATTGCTACAATTTGATGAACTTGACCTATACTCATGGAGGTAGTAGCTTAAAATACTGACAGAGAGGGAAGGAGTCCTCACATCAAGTATCTATGCTATCCCCTCTGTACACAGGGTAGATATGGATGGGTAACTTAGATATTGGCTACCTAAAATGTTGTTGTTGTTAAGTGCCATCGAGTCGGGTCCGACCCATAGCAACCCTGTACAGGGTTTCCGAGGGTGTAAATCTTTACGGGAGTAGTAAGCCTCATCTTTCTCCCGTGGAGCGGCTGGTAGTTTCGAACCGCTGACCTTAAGGTTCGCAGCCTGATTCGTAACCACTACGCTACCAGAGCTCCTTGATAAAGGCACGAAGTGACTGGCTTACAAGGTTTCAAGAGGGAGTTTAGTTTAAGTGTGTGTAGGGGAAGAAAGAGTCCCCACTGAATAGTTTTCATCTTGTCTAGATGGGCCTGGTTAAAAAAGATGGGGATAAGATTCTTATGATTCAATTTTGAGTAATTGTTATCATGACTAATTACAACTGTCACAATTGTAAAGATTGAAGTTTTGTAACAAAAACAGGGAGTGGTTACTCTTACAGTCCAGAAACAAAGGACCCTAGGACCATCAAGGAAGAAGAGCACAAGCGGAATGCGAGACCTTATTCAGAGAAGCAGTGACACCAGAAAAGGAGGCAGAGATGAGGACATGGAGAGAGGGAGCAGCTGAGGACTCTAGATTCATGGGAAGAGAGGGACTAAATGCTGGCAGCCAGGAGGCAGACTTGCAGAATGTGCCCTTTGGTGGTGTAAATTATTAAATATGCCTGAGTGTTTTTTAAAAAAAATGAGAGAGCAAAAGTGAATAGAGAGAAACACAGTTATCTGATTATAATCACTGTAAATGAAACAAGGTGTATGATTTGTTGAATGTAAAACTGATGATCTGCCCTACAAACTTTCACTTAATTCACAATACAAACTTAAATAAATAAATAAAAAACACAAAAGCAGGCAGGAACAGTGATGCCCTTTTCACTAAGGTGAGTGAAAGTTACTCCCTTTCTGATGAGATCTGGTCTTCCACATTCCTCCATACTACATAACAGCACTGTATTGCACTATACTGAAAGGTGATATTGTCTCTTAGGAATTACATAAAGTATCTAAGCACCCTTTAAAATACAGTTATTTTAAGAGGTATTATAACCAAATACAATGTGTGTACAGTGTCTGGGTTGTGGTTCCCACCAATGGTAAAGGAGGAATAAAAAAATGGCTTATTAAATTATTACTGTATTTTTCACCTACACAAATATGTGTACACATATACAACACACATAATAAGCACGTGAAATTAATGTGCAAGGGGGTTGTGCAAGTTTTGCCCCCTCCAAAACTCCTGTAATGTGTACATTATTTATATTAAAATAAAGTACTAATTTTGTTTAGCATGATTCTACTATTGCAGTTAGGGTTAAAAAAAAAATCCTGATGTTTTTATAAATGAAATGACATGCTGTCTGAGATCTGCTTTAAAATACTGAAGAGAAAAATAAAAGTGTGCATGTGGAAGACTAGATGAAGCAAGAAAAACAGAATAGTGAAAACACTAAAACTGGAGGATAGGCATATACAAAAGTTCATTACATTATTTTTTCTACTTATTATATAAGGGATCTTCAAAAAGTGCATGGAAAAGCTTTGGATCACTATACGTAGAAAACCCCAAAGACTCAGTAAAAAAGCTACTAGACCTCATTGGAAGATTCAGCAAAGTGGCAGAACAACATACAAAAATCAGTTGGATTCCTCTATACCAAAAACGACAGCGTTGAAAAGGACATTAGGACAACAATACCATTTACAATAGCCACCCAAAGGATGAAATATCTAGGAATAAATGTAACCAGAGAAACAAAGGACTTATACAAAGAAAACTACAAAA